TCTTTCCCTCCATGGCATCAACCTTCTTGGATTCAGTATCTGCACAGACTGATTATTTATACATATAATTAATCCTAAGTAATAAAAAACCCCCTCCATCTTCCTAAAACAATACAGTTCTTGATTTGAGTTATTTTGATAAACAGGTATCATCATCCATTGTATGTATGTTACACACACACAGGTAAAAACCTGCAAAGCTTATGAGCTCTGTGGCTACCATGTACACACTTGTGGAACATGTGAAGGGAGGAAGGAATGCAATTCATCCTTAAGAAACAAACCCTTATTTTCTGAAAAGTATGTGCTCTGTTACTTGTCTTTGAGGTAGATCTAAACACCATATTCTGATATCCATCAGGCTCAATCTTGAGAGAAACTGAGATTTTTACTCATTTCAAAGGGACAAATTACAGGTTAAAAGTCTCTAGCAGCAAAGTGAGACTTACCTTACTCTGTATGTGCCTGTCTACACTTATTGCTCTATCTTGATTATCAATAAGAGAATTAAGTTTCATGGCTTTGTCTTCTACGTGATCTTTAACCCCTTTTGATTATAGAGAGTCTGGACACACTTTTGTGATACTTTTACGTGCTTTTGTAGAAAGACGGTTTCCTGTCTCATAATTCTCTTTAAGATGTCATCCTGTGCTAAAATGCCAGCGTTCCACCAAACTGCATCCATTAATCAGTAGAATAAAGCTGGTGAACCTTACTGAACTTAGCAACAAAATTGGATTGATGGCAGCAGATGAGATTCTTGCAAACATTTCACATGACCGGTTCTTTGACAGCTCTAATTGCTGGAAAGTTTAGTTCTCCTATGGGTCAGAAGCGGGAAACTGCATTCTCCTGATTTACAGCAATGGGAGACCCATCAGTTTCCTTCCAGCTAACTGGAGCATTCCCCTCTTGCATTTTTGTTTGTTCCTCATTGCCATCTTCTCTGTTCATTTGTTTCTCATTTTATGTTTAGAGCATACTTAGAAAAGAAGCCAAAATACGAAAAATTCTTAGATGTTAATGAGATTCTGAGGCCAAAATAAAATCTTGGGAAGAAAGAAAATATGCTGCACATCAGGGAACAAAATCAAAACAGATCAAACGCATGCTCTGGGTTTCACTCTTCATTAAAAGGAGTAACAGCAATGCTTCTGTAATATCTTCCATTACAGAGCTGTAGTTCTGATTCACTGCTTCATAAAAGTCAATGCTTTATTCCTAACAATCAAGTTACAAGTGGGTTTGTTGACCAGGAAAATGTGGAACCACCAATGAATATTGTAGCTTACACTCATCTTTCACTGTTTTCTATTTAAATCTGTGTAGCTCACTTAAAATCTGCCTGGATCCTGAAAGAAAAAAAAACAAAGGAAAAGAGACCACCATGGAGCTTGTGCAGGCATTTTGTTATTTTTGATTATCACTGTTTATTTGTTTTCAGCATAAAATGAAAACAAGATAATATACCCCTTTCCATTGATTTAATGTAGAAATCATATGGAAATAGAACTTTTGCATTCTTTATGAATAAATATGTAACTCACTTAATGATCTTTAATGAAACATACAACCAGGAGAGTTTTGAAGGAGACTTTAATAGAAGGGTGGCCAAAACCTACAGAGATCGCTGTTTTCTTTTCTAGAGCTGATCTCTCTGCAACAATTCAGCTGCTTTAGATGAAAATCAGTGTGTGTAAGTCTGCATGGCAGGGAGGAGCCTTGCCAGCTGTGGCCCAGAGTATCCCAGTTAGGTCAGCAGGCTCAGAGGTGTCAGGCAGGGCCAAACGAGAGCCCAGATTATCAGGTAACATCATGATGACAGGGCAGGTCCAAGGTAAAGCTGGGAAGTCAGTCCACAGCTCAGGTCCAGTGACAGTGTGCAGGGTTGGACGCAGCCTAGTGATCCTGAGGCAGGTTCATGGTAATGAGGCATGGTCAAGGTCAAGCACAGAAGTGAATCCAAGGGCAAGGGATCAGTGAGGCCGAGGCCCATGCCCAGGCTGTGGCTGGGGACAGATGCAGCTCTGATAAAGCTCAGGCAGGGACTGATGGGCCAGGGCTGAGGTTAAATGGAGACCCTGGACCATGGGCAGGTGTGTTGGTGGAGGCCCCAGGTGAGGCTGGCCAGCCATACTGGTGCACTCAGACCCTGAGAAGTCCTTACAGGTTTCAAAGCAAGTGATACTTACTGTAACAGCCAGAGTAGTGAGGAAGTCTGTTCCCTAATGTTACTTACTTCAGAGAGCATTAGTAATGTGTAAGTACCAGCAGTGTTACCAACTACATATAAAGAAAGCAGCAGTGCACATGCAGAAGCAATCATGATCCAGCTGAAGTGTCCACAGATTCCAAGACCATATTTCAAAACTTTTGTTACCTTGGAAGGATACCATGGATCTGCTAGACTAAATACAGGGGACGGTTTGGCTTCTGGTGCAGCACCTACTGTATGCATAGATGTACTCTAAAGGGAAATAATATAAATCCTGGTATCAGAAAGTGTTTTGCCAGTACATGAGGATATTTCTGACTGGGCCTTCCCCTCGCACACACCCTTTTTTTTTTTCCTTAAGAAATCAAGGCTCCTCTCAACAGTATTACGTCCTTTGATAATCTGCCCCCAGTCTCAGAACTGCAGCAGAAGTGAGCTTCTCAAATACAATTCTTAGTTTATTATTGGGAAAATAAAGGTTACATAATCCTTCTAAAATCCCTTCTGAAAAGGATTCTCTCAGAGTAGATCAAATAATGCTAAGGAGTTTCATAAATAAATTTCAAACACAGATCTTCATTTTTATTTTTTGCAGTAGTGTCACATCAGGAGGATGAACTGCAAAAAGCTTTGCTATCTTGTGGGAAATAATTAAGATGATGAAGGTTAGAGCATGGTAGACAGAAATCCTGCATAAATGGGGGTGTTTTACTAGAACTCGATTGTTATTTAAAAATTTAATTATGGCTAGCAGTGATGCTGAAACCTGGCTGAAAGGACTCCTGAGTTCTGGGGAGATTTTCTGCTGCCTCTTTCTGGTGGTCTGTTGCCCCAGTTGAGGGTAATGAGTAGGGCTGGCACATTAGTGAAAGAGAACTGGCACTGTTAAAGGGTTTTTTTTTCCTCTACCGTGCCCTGTGGCTGTGACAGAAATTCAGGCTTCTACTTGCAGTTTTTCAAGTTTGCAGGAGCTAGACTTCTTTTCCTGGACTGTTGTTACAGTTGTTTTCTGACAACTATCAGAGCACTGGATTAGGAGGGGGGTTTTTTAGTTTTAGTTTTTAATTTGAATGGAAAGCTGCTGAAACTGAACTCATCAGGGAAGGACCTCAGGAAGAGGAGAAATGGCAGACTCCTTAAAACGAGGGAGGGTGTTCCACAGACTAAGGTTTCTGAGGAATTTCTGCCAATTAAAACAAGACAGTGAAACAAAATATCTTTAATAATAGGACCAGAACAGAGAACTTGCAGCTTGTGAAAGTTCCTCATGTCATACAATGTTAGGTTATGGCAGTTACTATGTATTAATGCACAAATCAATGTCACAAAATTGAAACTAGTGGTTGTGTCAGTTGTGAAAACTGAAGGGAGACGATTCATTATCCAAACACTCCCTACTCCCTGCCTTGGGCTTTGGAACCAATCATGGCTTTCACATGGAAGATTTCTACTGAAAGGAAGAAAAAACATGAAAACCCAAGTACTTAATGCAGAAACATTCAAGTTTAAGTTTGCTTTGTAAATCCTATGAGGGTGGTTAATCTGTAGTAAAATCTTGCAGCAGAGGGTGGGACAACCCTATACCTTCCCATTTGGTATTTCCTTTGTTATTTGATATGTAAGCCTAGTTCATGCATAGTCATTTAAAACATAAGACTATGGAGATTTTCTGGATGACTTTATAGACTAAACTTGTTCGCAGCTCTTGTTTGCAAAGCAGAAAAGCAAACTGCCAAATGAAAATTACTTAGAAATAAGAAAAGTATTTGCAGAGTGTATGCATAGTTTTCTATGCATAATGTAGTTGAACATACTTGCCGAGGATAAAATATGAACCGCCACAAAATTTATTTCTGTGTAGTGGGTTTGAAAGGTAGGCATTTTGTGGGGCCCAGTTTAACAGGCCATTTACCAAGGACTGGATTGTTTGAAATAGGTTTGGTTTAGTTTAGTTTTAGTTCACGTAAACAGGAAAATGTTCACTACTAGCACAATTTACATCATTCTTGTATTTTCAAGATTTTGCCAGTTTACTTTGAAAAGACCTCCTTAGCCATCAAATCTGGCATGCTGAGGAGGTAAGTATATTTCATGTATCTGTGTGGAAGTGGAAAATTTTGCTGTGCACCACCAACAAAGAAAGGTTCATTGTGTTACTTATAGGCATCATTTAAGAGAAGCTTAATTATTCGATCTTGCAGAGGGAGGAAGAAACCATTCCAATCAGAGCAATTTTTTCCTATTTCTGTGGAGTACATAAGCATCTCTTTACATTCTGAATTTCTAGTTAATCAAAAATTATATTTGGTTTGTTAAAAAAAAGACTTGTAAAAAGTTGCACCACTTCTTCAGTTTTCTAGGGATTCCATTTCAGTAAAGCTTTGCCCTTCTATTTGAACATCTTGTGAAAGAAACCAACTTGCTGACAGGGAAAATGTTTTTCTATGCTGGACTTCACAAATAACCAGTATTCTTCAGTGTGAGTAAATAGTAGTTTGCAACCAATTATACATTCAGTCCCTGGTCTCTCTCTTGAGAAGATGAATGACTCTTGGTTAATCCTGTTTCAATAGCGGTGCTATCGTGGCATCTGCTGTTCTGTAGTTGAACTACTGGATGGGGCCCCTTACATTACTACCAATGTCAAGCTAGTTGTCAACTCTGTGTCTCATCACTCATTCTTTGAATCATTCTTACTTTTACTGAGTAAAATTTAAAAAAACGTTCCAATACGGAGTTACATTATTCACAAGGAATGTACTGTTCATTGTGGAAGTAATACACGGATTCTGATTTAAAAATAACATCTGAAATGTGAATCAAATACATCTTTTTCCTTCATATACTATATACTTATTTGTGGTTTTCTTTGCATATATAATGTAATTGTTTAAATTCAATTGTATACGTATCTTTCAGTGAGCTGTGCCTGGGTTTTTCTTTATTTTGATGGTCTAGACGTGAAATGCCAAATGCATTTTAAAAGAAAAAAGAAAGAAATGGAAGATTAAGAAAGAATTAAGCAACAACAAAAAAAGTCTAACACTAGAATTGATTATTTCCCTGGCATGTTTCTGTTTTTTAAATGTCAGTAGTTTGATGCTGTCCAGAACAGTGGAAAATTGGAGACTTTCCCACTGAAGTAGAGGAATGACCAAACTGTAAGGGCATAAATGGAGTTTATCCTGCGTGATTTATGAATTACGTGCATACCAGCTCTGAATATGTGACATAAGAATCTGCATATCACTACTTATTAAGAGCTTTCAGAATTTAGCAGTGAAAAGTTGGGAATGGTGAATGTTAGTTACTGGGAAGTCATATCATTAGAAAACAACATTGAATTTACATAAACTTCTATGGCCACCTCTTCTGCTAAAACTAGTTAACAACTTACGATGGAAACAGGTTGGGCAATAATAAGTGGCAGTTGCAGTTATTTGCTGAGGATTTACTGGAATCTTTTGAAACTACCTGTGAAGATTTTTGTAGTTCTCTACTTTATTATGCCTTCATACTCTGTCAGCTTGTTATATGGAAGAACTCCAGGATGTGCTATGCAGTCATTTTGCTACCAATGCCACAGCCCTCAGAGTCTTCCTAGCCTCATCCTTTTAACCAGTGTAAGAGTTCACCTGGCTGACAGCTTGAATGGTCACAGGAGGAACTCACAGAACAATTCAAAGGCTGAAATATGACTGCTCTCTGAAAAGCTGCCTATTGAAATTCTATTAATTGGTATGCAAAGAGATGAATAAAATGAAAACTGAAAGATTTTACAGACAGAAAGAAGGAAAGAAAATAAGAAAGCTAATAAAAAGCTATAAAAAACAGATTTCCTTCATCCATAATACTTCAATTTCTTTCATTTGTGACTGTGAAGGACAGGTACTACTTGTGTATTCAAAAGTATGAAGCTGTGAGATGATTTTCTACAGCTGAATTACAAGTAAAAATAGTTGACTTTGCATAAATTTACTTTCGTGACTGTTGCTTCTCATTTTATTGTGCAGTCTGGAGGACAGACTAGTGACATGTTCTGTCTTTTGCTCCCCAGTGTTCTGCAGAATGCGGTGACGGAGTCCGTACGCGTTCAGTGGTTTGTATGACAAACCATGTCAGCAGTTTGCCTCTGGAAGGCTGTGGCAATAACAGACCCTCCGAAACGACTCTCTGTAATAATGGACCCTGTGCTGGTAAAGTGGAGTGGTTTGCTGGGGGCTGGACACAGGTAAACTCTCTATCTAACATGTGTATTCGTTTTCTGCGAGTATTTTAATGTTTAAAATGTATTTTTGTGCATTGAAGATGTGTGCCGTAAGGCACATTCCATACAAGGAATATTTGGAATTTTTTTCCCTGCATTTTGCTGAGTTGATGTTCAATACTTTTCAGCACCTGCTGTTTTCCTACTTTGATGAAAATAAGATTTTGTTCCTCTTTTCCTCTGTTCCTTCATTTTTATTTCTCATCTACTGACACAGTGTATTTATGAAACAAAACGTAACAGAAAGCTGCTTAGCATATTCAGATGAGTGCTAAAGCAACCGATTTGCACCTTGTAAAGTGGAGCCTTTGTGATCAGGCATACCTGCAGGGACATATATATAGTTATATAACTATAGAGAATTTCCAAACGACAAATAAAACAAAAAATAACAGCTAACTTCAAAAGTTAGCTTCAGTATTGTTGTGCTGAAATTCGTGATAAGAGGTGAAAAGAACAAAATTTGGTTAGTGGCCTGGCTCTTTCCTCAGTGTAAATCCTTCCCTCGATCCACATCTTGATAGTCTTTCTCCTTCTAAATAAACTTCTGCTGTCAGAAATGAAGGCATTTCAGAAGCTCAGCTGGTTCACAGGCATTTATGTCCCTTTGCGTCGGCTCTCATACAGCCTGGAGAGCCTTTCGGCCGGCTGGTGCCAGCACTTCGAGTTGTTAGGGAAAAGTCTCTCGGCTGTGCTGTTAACTCGCTGCCTTTCAGATTCCAAGATCCTCCCAGGTGATAAGGAGTTGGAAATTAAATCAGTACAGCTGAGGTGGAGATTGCAGGGCTGCTACTATGCTAATGCTTTCAACTGTAAGTGAGAATTATTTGTGTTGTTTGAGAGTAATAACAAATTCATATTTAAAACACGCTTAGCTGCAGTTCTAATAACAGAAAATCTGGGGCTTGCCACTCCTTGCAGGTGAACAGGAACTTTGTATCCTTTCTTGCTACCAGAGAGAGAAGCGTTCAGTAAGGTCACCATAGCTCTCCCCATTCTGTTCTGAATAAGAAAGTTTCTGTTCTTTACAGTTTCCTGTTCTTTAAGCTAATTCATCTCCTTTCTTTGCATGAGGTTGAATTGTTTTATGCATATCAAGGGTACCGGGTCTTTGCTGTATGTTACCTGGAAGAAGTGTCTAACAACATCTATTCTACTGGCCAAATCCTGACTCCTAGATACCAGAATGAAAGCAGGCAGTCAGTAGACCAGAACAGGAGGAGGAAGCACTGGTGGATGAACTTCTGTATTTTGCTCCGCTAGAGCTAAGGCTGAATGTTAAGATACTGTCTTTTGGAGGAACCATTAAAAGAGAACAGTGACAGAGAAGTTCAGTGTTAAAGAAAGTGCAGTTACATTATTTACTGTAGAATTTATTTGGGTCCGTTCATCTCAAGGTTCTTCATTCAGCTCAAGGGTTTTGTGGGTATCTGGTAAAGGGATCATAAATTCCACCCAAAATATAAACAAAATCTCCACTTTTAATAACATTTGATTGGTTTAGGCTGAAAAAGCCTTTGAAAATCATAGTCCTTTACGTAACGTAGAAACCAATATGTTGCTTGAATCATCTTCTAAAAACTTTTTTACAAGCGCCAGGAACTGTATTGTGTTTGTATTTAACCTTTAAATGGGCAGTAAGAGTCCACGTGAGTCAAATTTGCTTTTCAGAACTGGAACCAACACTGCCTCACATAGATCCTTGCAAACGTGAAAAGAATACCCTGGCAGATCAAAGCATTTTCTAAAAACCATACAGAATGTGGGGATTTTTAAAGCTGCAAAACTTTGTGCTCTGACCTTACAACCCTCAAAGGTCCAGTGCAGCGCATACAATCCTGCTTCAGCAAAAAGCAGTAATGCTGTTTATTGAGAAAGTAAATAATGTTTCTCTTTTTATTAGAAAAATAAATATCAGTTTCTTTTTGTAGCTACAGGTAAAACTACACTTCCAGATTTCTCCAAAAGCACACTTACAGTCATATGTCTTATTCTTCATAAAAGTAATTAGAAATATGTTTTGAGTCTGTGGTACCACGTGGAATAAACATTCACAGAAGTACAGTTTTAACTGCTGTAACAATTTTCAAGATTAAAAATGAAATATGTAATACCTGACACTTACAGTCAGTAGTCACTCAATGAACTAAGTCATTGTATCCTGCAGCATTTTCTTGTCCTGGTTCCTAACTGGGACCGCTGGCTACTATGTTAGTCAGTTGTTGTAGTTGTTGTAGTTGTTGTAGTTGTTGTAGTTGTTGTAGTTGTTGTAGTTGTTGTAGTTGTTGTAGTTGTTGTAGTTGTTGTAGTTGTTGTAGTTGTTGTAGTTGTTGTAGTTGTTGTAGTTGTTGTAGTTGTTGTAGTTGTTGTAGTTGTTGTAGTTGTTGTAGTTGTTGTAGTTGTTGTAGTTGTTGTAGTTGTTGTAGTTGTTGTAGTTGTTGTAGTTGTTGTAGTTGTTGTAGTTGTTGTAGTTGTTGTAGTTGTTGTAGTTGTTGTAGTTGTTGTAGTTGTTGTAGTTGTTGTAGTTGTTGTAGTTGTTGTAGTTGTAGTTGTAGTTGTTGTAGTTGTAGTTGTTGTAGTTGTAGTTGTAGTTGTTGTAGTTGTAGTTGTAGTTGTTGTAGTTGTAGTTGTAGTTGTAGTTGTAGTTGTTGTAGTTGTTGTAGTTGTAGTTGTAGTAATAACAACAACAACCACCACCCAAGGTTTATCTAGGCTACTATTCTGGTTCTGAGAGAAAAACCCTACCACAGGAACTTAAGGAATACTTTATCCTTTTACTTTCTCTTCAAGTCATACATATGCCAGTGATGGAAGGAAAGATACAGTTAAGTTCATTTTACTAAGGAAAGAACATATAAAAGTAAGGAAATGGATTTTGGATGTTAGTGTCTAGGTATGTGTCCAGGAATAGGGAATAAGCAAAACTTTACAAAGTTTCCTCTTTGAATATTAATTTAAAATGCATGTGTGTTGTTTTATTTCAGAAGCAAATAGCATGGAGAACCATGTTACTTAGGAAACAAGTTGAAGGACATAAGTAGAATAACCAATTCCACCACTTTTTTTGTTCTCTGATACAGTGCTCTACTGAATGTGGCAGTGGAACTCAACAGAGAGAAGTCATTTGTGTTAGGAAAACTGAAGGTAATTTTGATGTTTTGAACCCCTACGAATGTTCGTATTTGGAAAAGCCTCCCAGCCAGCAGTCCTGCTACCTCAAACCCTGTGGATCTAAGTGGTTTCATACAGAATGGAGCACAGTAAGTCTACCATGCTTTTCTATATCTAGCTTTGTTTGATACATCTTTTTCCATGTATGTTGAAAGGCAACACCATTTGGTTGATTGTGACATTGACTTAACCTTGCACAGGAACAATACTTAAAAGAAAGCATACTCTTTAGTACCTGGTGGAGCTTAGGAGAGTTAGGAAGTATCTTAACAAGAAGGATATACTGCATTTGTCTTTTCATCACTGATCACTTCTTCCAAGAATCTTCCTGTATTATAGAGTGGTTTGCCTCTGAATGAGACTATGGAGTGCATGAAGTTCTCTTCAGACGTCTAGTTTCATTAAAATTAAGGAGCATTTAATAAAGAGGGATGTATTCTGTTTTTAAAGTCAGTTTTATCATAATATTTTACTGTAAACTCTTCATGTAATACTTAGAACTTCACTGAGAGAAAACTTACTGTAGAGCTTGAGGTATCTTCAGTCTTCCCTGGAAGTGGAACAGCCACACTCACCAGTGCCACAAAATGCTTTGGTTTCACCTGTCTTTCCATCATTTCCTATACCTGACAAAGCTTACTGCATTTTTACGAAAAATCAACATTTTTCCCCTAAATGAAAATCAGAAACTCCATTGTTGTCTTAGAATTAAAAACGGTGTGAAAACTACTTAGATGACATCATATCTAATGCAGTAACTTACACCATTCCTTGAGCCATAAATCAAATTCAGAATGACAGCAATGAAATGTGGAAGCATCTCAGATGTCTTCAGTTTGAGTTCCCTTAGTCAGGAACCCTTGGAAATACCTCATCTACGTGAAATGAGAGACAAATTATTTTGGTTTTCCCTTTTACTAAAGGCTTAATTATTTGCCTGGCCTACTGGCAAAACTAGAGAGCAGGAAAAGAAGGTAGAATGGTTTTAACAAAATAAACAGGCTGCAGGGAATCCTGATTTTTCTTCCTTAATTGCAGGTATGGGTGTTTATTTGAAAACGAACATCCAAGTTAGGCTCATAATAGAAGTAGATCGAAGTATGTTCTTTGATGTTGCTGGAAATTCTTTGGATTCTTTACTGAACTGTTAGTTTAGATAAAATAACTTCCCCTTAGCAAACCCATTTTCAAATGTGAACCCGCAGGTGCATAAGCACATGAGATACAGCCGTCTGCATCCATACAATGCAGCAGCTAGATTCCTTCTGAAAGTGAAAATATGTGCTCTTTTTGGCAGGCACAGAAGAAACAAGGTGCTAAGACTCAGAATCTGACAGGTATTTGGAGATCCCTAGTTACTGTTTAAGTGCCTACATCCTAAGAAGCGGTGTCTAAAATCATTATGTCTAAGCCTTTGTGATCGTCTTCACTGCAGGAACAAATATGTATGCTAGCTGAGGTTCTACAAGGTTTACAAAGCAAACGCTTTTCAGTTCTCCTTCTGATATTGTTACTGTTCTCAACAGAGTAAGTGGTATTTCCTACTGTCAGACCTGAAGAGAAAGGAGTATGGGGTTACCTGTGAACAGAATAGCTGGTTCAAAGCCCCTGTACTAGGTTTTGAAACTGTCCAGTTCGTATCTCCAGCAGGCTTTTTATATGACCCAGGATAAATGGTGTGGCCTCTCAGACATGGAGATTAAGTGGCAGGCTAACGCAGAATGCTGGGTTTTGTGTATAGTGTGTTGTATGCAACATCTAAATTCTGTCTTGGTTCCATTTTGAGTGCTTAAGATCTCTACAGACCTGAACTGAAGTTCTTATTGCTGGATGTGGGATAGTTACAATATTCTATACAGGCATGTAACAAGAATAATTTTTATATTTATTTATTTAT